TTTAGAGATGTAAACCCACGCACGTAAAAATCGTCTCACTCACCAGGGCTTTGGTTTCCAAGAACTGGGTCCTTTTCAACAGGCATTTGTGCAAATTTTTCTTGAATGAAGCCAGTTAAATCTTTCAGCAACACCTAAATTGATCATTACGGTACTTACTGTAGTCATTAGAAGTAATGGTAATTAAGAGATGGTTCTAAGTTATGCTACAGAGATGGTAAGGGGTTGCAGGAAGCAAGAATATAGTATTAATCATTTGGGTTTGTACGTTTCTGCATGTGTTTTTTTTCTCAAAACTTAATAGAACAAATATTTAATTGATGCAGACCAGATTTCTGGGAATATAGTTTCAAGTTTATAAACAAGACATTGCCGAAAGTATGTTAACTTTTGAAGTTTTTCGTTCACCCTGGATTAAGCCCGAGGTTATTAATGGCAAGTGTTTTCAATTGATTGTACAGTATTAAGTGATATCAAGTGATACATGTATCTAATGATGTCCATTGACAATGTCACGGCTAGGGCTTGAAATTTGCAGTTATATCCACAGGATACCTGATTTCAAAATTGAATACTGGACATTACAAACTCAGTATCCATTGGGATACTAAACAAATATGTAGATCTGTTCTCCACAGATACAGTAACTGTATTTTTCAGTTGCATGTTTACAAGTCCTTTATGTATTACTCCAATGTCTGAACATTACTATCCAAATTTGGCCTACAGTACTAGATTTTTGTGGTCGATACCTCAAATTTTCAAGTTTCTAGTATCCCACTGGATCGAGAGTGCTGAAAATTTTGAATTTCAAGCCCTGCAGTGATCTACTGTATATCTTACCAATGTATTATTTGCATACTTGTGCTTGCACTCTGAGATAAAATTTTTCACACTCGATGAATTGCACTAAAATAAAAGCAAGGTTAGGAAAAGAACATCTTGCCGTCAGTATGGTAATCAGACGTAACTGATATCCATACATCATGCTGATATCCTTGGGGAAGGGAGAGTCAAATTGTGATTGTAGTACTGGCAGACATTTGGGGGGGGGGGGGG